AATCATTTCACTTCTGATTCCAGTTCCTCATCAGCAAAATGGGGTCTGGGAGAACCACTATATTAAACAAAAGCCCAGGGTGCAGCACAGGACAGGACAAGAGCAAGGGCTAGATCTGCTGGTCTGAGACCCAGAGGTGCTCATCCTAGGACTCAGTCCACGGGGGCTCAGGTGCCCTTGCAGGCATCACCACAGCTAGTCACCAACAGTGCTACCTAAGCAGGTGGCCACCCAGTCCCTGCCTGGGATTCACCCTGACTGGGATTCCCGGAGCAGGACTGGGTTTGGATCTCCTCCATCTGGAGGGCTGCCCATTGCTCAGCATTGTCGCTAAGAAGCAACAGAAATTTAGACTCCCAGCTATGCTATATGTACACAGTGGATGATCCAGGGTAAATCACTTCATCTCTCTGGGCATCAGTTTCCTCATCTATGAAATGGGAATGGTACTTACTTCATAGACTATTATGAGGATTAAATGAAATTAGTACATAAAAATGTTTAGCACAGTACCTGGTACATAGTAAGTAAGTTTCTAAGAAACGGTAGCTATTGCTACTGCTATTGCTACTATTAAGTATTTTGTTACTAAACTCATCACTTAACTTCATATCCCTTCCCAGACATTCTGACTGTCCCAATGGTCTGGGACAGATGTCCTGATAGGCTTTTCCCTTTGGAGCTATGGCCAAAGGATGAGAGAGAGAGAGAGAGAGAGAGAGAAATTCCACATGAAGGCGGTGGTGCCAAAAGCCACCAGTGTACCACTCCCCACCCTGACACACACACACACCCCCACCCAATACCATTGGTCACTTGCCTCTTTGGGCTGAGACCTATCCTCCCCAGAGGACTGGGTGGAATGGGTAGGTGTGGGGGGCCTGGCCAGGGAAGGTGGACAAGATGTCCTCTCTGATCAGAGGTGGGGGCATTGGTGTGGAGTCAGTGGCAGGCCCTGAGCTTTGTGGGAAGTGCACTTTGAATGGGGATCTCTGAAAGCTCCCCATGTCTTCCTGCTGCTGAAACCCCTGGGTGGCGACCCTTAGCCAGAATTCCACCCTGAAACTGGAAGAATCCCTCTGTGTAGAGCTGTTGAGGGGGCTGGCCAACTGGCTACCCAGCTTTCAGCCTGACAGACCAAAGAGTGTAGGAGGGGGCAGTCCAAGGAACTAGACTCTCCTGAGGGAGGGGCAAGGTCAGCATGGCTGGGCTTTGGGATGCCATTCTGGGGCTGCTCCGGGGGTCTGCCTCCAACCCAGGTATAATCATGGTCTGCTCAAGGCTACCTTGGCCACCACCAAAGGGAGAGCCCTTCACTGAGCTGGACCCTGGGCTGAGGTCAAGGGGTCATGTCAGGTTGGAAGAAGGGAAAATGAGGCCAAAGAAGGCAAACACATACTTGGGTTATAATTCTGTTTCTACTACTTATTTGACATAATGTTGAGCAAGTTACTAAACCTTTCTATGCCTCAGTTTTCTCATCCATAGAAAAGACTCTAACTTCTAGAGTTGTTGGGAGATTAAATTGGTTAATATACATAAAAATACCTACAACACACAGCTGGCTACCCGGAGGGAGTGAGTAGTTGAACCTGTGGGCTCGGGACCATAGTCACAGGGAACATCAAGCTCAACTGGCATAACATACTACACAAAACATTGTTCTACCTCCTACTTTGGTGAGTAGCAACTGGGATCTTAAAATACTTCAAGCAGCCATCTAGATGCAACGATGGGTCTCTCTCCTCATCCAGAGCAAAGAAGAATGAAGAAAACCAAAGATTCATGGAAACAATTAGTCCTAGCGACTGGTACACCATGCAATCTGCAGCCTATACAACTATGAGACCAGAAGAACTAGATGGTGCCCGGCTACCACTGTCAACCACTTGGAAGGGGATCTATGTAGGAGATACTAGATAGAGAGGGAGAACAATGTGGAACAAAACTCAAAATCATTTGGGAAAAAAAAGGGGGACCAGGTTTGCTGGTCTGATAGAGCCTGGTGGAACCACTGAGACTATGGCCCCTAGTTGCCCTTTAGGTCTGCTATTGAACCCACACTTGTGGCTTCCAGCCAAGCAAAAGATAGGCATATGAGGTGAACATTTACCTGAAGGAGATACACTCCTTAGAGAGAACAGTCATGGGAGAAAGAAGGGCTGTTTATGCACAGGGAGACAGCTCAGGGAGCAGGAGTGCATGGAGGGACAGACACAGGGACGAGGTAACTAACAGGAGGAAGTGGGAGGAGAGCTGTTGTACTGGGGTAAATTGTAGTCAATGTCATGAGACAAAAGTATATCTGAACTGCTGTATGGAAAGTGAATTTGCTCTGTAAACTTTCCCCCATATCACAATAAAAAAAAAAAGAAGTGCCTATAACAGTACTATGTGCTCCCACTGTCACTCTTGTTGATATTACTCAGCTCTCTAAGACTCTTCCCCTATGACATTGGAGGATGATCTTTGTCTCATGGAATGGTATCAAGCTAAATAACAATGAACTTGCAGTGGCTGGTACATGGTAGGTAATTAAGGAGAACTCCCTCTTGCTCCTTCTCTTTTCCTCAAAAGGGGTGAGCCCTGGGGGCCAGATTCGGAACTAAAGTCAGTCCTGACCCCTACCAAGTCTTGCTGTGTGACCCTGGGCTATCTCTGGCTCTTGGCCTCAGTCTCTCCATTTGTCAAAGAAGCTTCCGGATGACATGGTCTCTGAATGTCCACAGTCATACCTGCTCCAGCCTCCCCTCCTCTCCCTCTTCCCTCTGTCCTTCCCCATTTTTCCAACCAATGTCCTTCTGCATCTCTTCCAGCTTCAGCAAGACTACAAGGAGCCTGAGGTAGGGTGGAGAATGATGACTGGTGGGCAAGGCATACCAGCCCTCAAGCAGCCCAGCACCCAGTCCAGGCTCCCAAGGGTTAAGATCCAGAGCAAGGAGTGGGGGGCTGGGGTCAATGCTGGACAGATGGGCCTAGAGCCCAGGGCTTGCCTCCCCTCCCCCAACCCTGGGAACAGAGGCCATTTGTTTGGGCAGCGGCAGGCTGGCTTTGAGCTCACTTGGCCAAAGAGTGGGGTGGGGAGGAGAGAGGGCCTTGGAGAGCATAGGGGACTTCCCTCCTTCCAGCCAGTGCCCTAGGCCTGGTCCACCATTAGGCCCCAGGACTCTCAGAAATTCTGCACCCCTCTGAACAGACCCTTTACCCTGGATCTTCCCTTTCCTTTATTCAAACACTCACTGCTGGGAGTAGGATTTAGAGTTGGACAGGTCTAATTCTTGCCCCAGCACAGCCTCTCTTTGGGCAAGGGGCTAGAATTTATCAACCCATCTTGTAGATGGGGAAATGGAGGCTCTGATGAGTTTGTAAACTTAAAAAAGTCACCTAGCGGTTGGTGGCCACACAGGAATTCCCGGTCCTGGGTCCCAGTCAGTCTTATGGCTCTGTGTAGGGCCCCTTCCCATAGAGCTCCAAGAAGACCCTTCCTAAGGTGTCACATTACACAGAACTGAAAGACTGGTCAGGCGGGAGGAGGCATTAAGTAGTCCACCTTTGAAACCTAAAGTCCTAAGGACTGAGGAGAAGGGGGACACATAAGAGGGTACAAAGAATGTACACAAAGGGTTGAGGCTTGGTATGTGGAAGAGTATGACTGGAGTCTGGGAGTGGAGGGGGGCAGTAATGCTGGGGACCACAGGGCGGCTTGAATGCTTGAATGAAGCCTGGGAACCATCTGAGCCCCTCACCAGTCCTCAGGACTCTGTCTGGGACACCTCATCTCCTCCCCTACTCAGTGAGGAAGTGGCCACTGCGGAGGCAGGGTTCTTGGCCCAGAGTCTGGACAATCTCTTATCAGCCACGGGACAAAGAGATGAGCTCTCTCTACACTACTACTGTCCCACTACCCCTCCAGCCACATCCACCCATGACATTCCTCAGATGCACCACACAGGTTCCTGCATTTGCACAAGTTACAGCCTCCTCTGGAAGGCCCTCTAGCCCTGTGAACTGTCCCTTAAATGCCAAGGCCCATTCCAGTCATGTCCTCTCTGGGCCTTCCAAGTGTTTCTGACTCCATCTCTACACCTGTAATGTACTGTCTGCATGGCTCTGCTGGGCTCCTTCTACCCTGCAATGAATTTGCTGGGTGGTCTCCCCCTGCCTGGGGACTTTCTGAGCACAGGCATTCTGGGTGCCCAGGCCGGGTCCCCAGTGCCCAGAATACAGTCAGATCCTTCCTTGAGTGTTTCTCCCTAGCCTGAGGATCAGGGAAGGCTCTTCAGGACATGGGGGCGGGGGGAGTGGATACATATGACAAATACCATATATAATCAATCCTGACCAGAGTTCTTCAGGACTAAGGACCACGCTGAAGGTTTTAAGGACCAAACACACACACACAAACACATCTAGGCTGCACAGTAAGCCTGCTCTCTCCAGTCTCAACTACCCATTCCCAGCTTGACCCCATTCAGCGTATACGCACCTCCTTTTTTTTTTTTCCAGCAACTGGGCCGAGTGGGGGCTCTTGGGAGGACATGCTCCCATTACTAGTGGAGAATTGAGACATAAAGACCGGAAGTAGCTTGCCCCAAATCACCGAAGCCCTAGGGCCAGGGCATAGGGTCTTAGGGATCTGCAGAGTTGTACGGGTCTCAGGGTCAGTGAGGCAGGAGCCCACATTTCGCAGATGGGGAAAGCCGCCCGAGGGCAAGGGGGCTCGGATCCCGGGAGCCTTCATGGCGAAGGGCTATGAATTGGAAGTCTCCTGTACCGCCGGTTCGCCCTCCTCCCCGCGGTCTCTGGCCCTCAGGAGGAGACTCCCCGCAACCACCACCGGGCAGGGGAACAGGCAAGGTGACCCCAGGAGGAGCGCCCGCGGAAGTAGGCGCCGGACGCAGAGTTGCCGTGCGGCCTCGGTGTTTCCGTCTGAGGAATGGGGAAACACCCGGCCACACCTGGTGAGAAGAGAGCAGACAGGCGCCGGCAGCCACACTGACCTGTTTTGAGCGCAGACTCCGCGCGGGGACACGGGGTCCCTGCGCCGCCACTGATTCACGCCGCCGCCGCCAACTCGCGGCCGCTGGCCCGGCCGGGCGCGCCCACCCCGCGGGGCGCTTCCGCCCGCCCCACGTGACGCCCCGGGGAGGGGAGGGCGGGGAAGGGACAGGGACACGCCCCCTCTCCGGCCCCGCCCCCGACTCCTGCTGTCCTTCAGTCAGTTGACTTGGCCGGCTTTCCGGACCCGTCCTGTGTGTTTCTCCAACCCGTGTTGCTGCTCGCTGGTCGGTCTCTGTCTCTTGAGGCTGAAATCTACACCACTCCCGCCTGCTGCTTCTCCACCTGTTCCCAAGTCTTTCTGCCTTTCGCCCTCCCTCTCCTGGAGAGTGCTTTCTAGAAGAATGAGCGACAGCTCTCCGCTCAGAGGGGTCCGGACCCCTCCTAGGTCGGTGAGGGGCGGTTGGAGGCAGGACGACTGTGGCCCCTGACCTCCTCCAACAACTCCTTCTGCCACCTTATTCTCCAAGGATCTCCCACTCCTTTCCCTGGGTGCCAACTCATAGGCAGAGTGGTGGGGAAGAGTCTGCCCCAGGCATAGCACCCACGGATTCCTTAGCTGAAAGTATACCCCAGCACCTTTGCTGATCAAGGATCAGAGAGATGCCTGGTGTCCTTTGCACACACAGATGAGGGCCAGAAGTTTGGTGGGCATTCCTATGTCCTGTATCTAGGCACCTCTGGTGCCAACCAAGCCAGAGACCATACCTTCTCTGAGCTTTCATTTTTCCATATGCCCAATGGGGATATTTGGAAGAACAGGTTTCACCTGGATGGAGGTAGGGGTTTACCCTGGAAGGAGAAAAGACTCATTAATTTGAGCACTATATACTGGAATGTTCCTTGGAAGCAAAGAATGGCCATAATGTTTCACCTACTTTGCTCATGTGGTTAGAAGGGACCATTCCCTGTCATGTAAAGGGTCAGCAAAAAAGTGGAAGACTCTCAACAGGATGAACTGACACAGTGGCTGAAACCTCGGGCTGTAGAATAGCAAGGATTGTGAGGATGGCACACCACTGTCCACTGTTTCAATCTGTTGTACATATAGGATTGCCATGAGACGGAGCAGACTCAAGGGCACCTAACAACAGCAACTACATACCAGGCTCAGTGCTGAGCAATTTACTCCTTTTACCTCATTCCTCACACTTCTGCTTGAAGGCAAGTAACATCACCCCAGATTGTGGATTAGGGCACTGAGGTGTCAAGAAGTCCCAAGATGTGCCCAAAGTTACAGAGCCAGTATGGGCAAAGGTATGATTGGAAGCCAAGTCTTAATGAGTTACAGAATCCCTTGCTCACCCCCACTGGCCATTCACCTTGCCCCTGCAGAAAGGTCGGCTTGTAGTAGGCTGTAACCTCCAGAGAAGGAGCTTCCAGGGAAAGGAGGACTGGGCCAGACCTTGGGGAAAACTTCCCAGCCAAGAGTTTACGTGGAGTATGTAACACCGGAAGGATAGGACACAAGGGCCCCCCTCTGGACCTGATAATGTTCTGTCCCTTGGGCAGCAGAGGGCGCCTGGGAGCCACTTACAACTTGGGAGGATCAGGCCTCACTCAAGATCTCAGGGCAGTTTGGCAGAGCACTGACCAGGGATGTGAGTCCCACACTTTCCATTAACGTAGACCTGAGATCTTCAAAATGACTTAGGGGGTAATGATGGGTTCAGGATGACCTGAACTCCCAAACCTCCACCTGCAGGACATGCTGCCCCAACCTCAGCTCCCCACAGCCCTGTGCCCAGTGACCCAGGGAACCCTCCCCACCCCTCCTGTGATGACTGGAAAGTCAGACGAGGTCCAATTGGTTGGAACAGAGGTCACACATTAGAACCCTGAGCCAGGGCCTCTGGCCAGGCTAGCTCCTTCTCTCAGAGCAATGAAGGTAACAGTGTATGGTGAATGGCAAAAATGAACACTCAACAAGGACTAGTGGGAGGATGAAGTTAACTAAGAAACACAGTGAGAAGGGAAGCAGCGATGGACAGGAGGAAGGGGTGACAAACTCCCAAGCTAAACACGGGAAAATGAGAGGGTGCTTAAAGGCGCAAAGGCCAGGCAATCATTAATTAACGAAATTAACCCTGTAGGAGCAGGGATCAAGGGGGGCGGTTGTGCCCGAACAGATGAGAAGCAGGCACAGTGACGAGCCGGAAGAGTCTGTGGGATTGTTTATTGAGGCTGTCTCCAGGCCAGACCGCCCCCCTACCTGGGTCCGAATCCAGGGACCCCAAGAACTGTGGGGAGGGGAGAGGGGGAAGGAGCGGGAGGATCCGACGCCCACGGGCTCGGCCCCCAGGTTCTGTCTCGGTCCCTGCGTTGGTGCCTCGCTCAAGTGAGCGAGGTATCATCGTCGCTGCCCTCGCCTCCGGCGCCGCCTGTACGCTCTTCCCGACTCTCGGCCACTGCGCTCTCATCGATGTTCTCCAGCGAGTCCGCGTGCTGCACCGACAGCTCTGACAGCGCCAGGCTCGGCAACGGGCTCTGCTCAGGGTGCAGCCACGGCTTGAAGTGCGGCTGGTGCTTCTGTTTCCACTCAGGGTACTTAACGCAGGCCTTGTACATCTTCTTCATGGCCTGCGGGGCCGGGGCCCGCAGCCCCGCGGTATTAGCATGTGGCTGAGGCCAGGGGATAATAGGTCTCCACATTCCCTCCCACCCCACTAGCCGCCAGGCCCCAGTTTGCAGGATCTCTACTCTGCCTACAGTTTCCCAACTCCACCCCTCAGCCCTAAATCTGCCACCACTCTCAGTCTCCATCTTTGACTCCACCCCCTCACCCCTCAGTCCTCTCCTCCAGTCTTGGAACCCCTAAAGTCCCAAGGCCACTCACCTTGGGAGCCAGGAACTGAGAAGATTTATTCACCACCCACTTAGGTAAGGAGCCTATAAGGGCAGGAAAGGGTAGTGAGGAGAGAAAGGAGGAAGGGACCTCAGGGACCTAGATTCCACCAACAAGCACAGCAGCCCCCTCCCTGTAGCCTGGGGTTTCCAGGTAGGCTACCCTCTTGTCCATAGGAGGGGGGCATATGAGCAAAGCCCATAAGACTTCATCAGCTTCACTCCCTTGTTCTACCTCAGACTAAGGGCCTTAGACTCAACTCTGTCCCCTCTGTCCCTCGATGAGCCCCAGATGGCTAGGAGGACCACAGGGTCCTAAGAGACCACAGTCTGTATGTGGGTTGAAATCCTAACTCACAGCTCTGGTCTGTCACATCTCTCATCTCACACTGACATCCCTTCTCATCACCAATTCCTCTCAATGTTCCCCAGGAAGCCTCCTTGACTAAACAGGCCTCTTGACTAAGCATCCCAGCCAGGACTCACCTGTAACCCACAGCCCAGCTCTCCACTCTTTCCCAAGTGTCTGCTTTGCCTTTGACACTCAACAGACTCAAACATGGTCCAAGAGGAGACTTGGGCCTGGGTCACTTGGCCCTGAGGAGGCTTGGGACACCCAGGCAAAGATGCTCTGGGCTTACCCAGGCAAAGATGCTCAGGGCTTACCCATCCTGTAGTCATTCGTCATTCATTCACTCACTCCACATTCACTCAATGACACCAACCCTTGGCCAGCCTTGGGAACTGGGAGGAACTCATTGCAGGGCCCACAGTGTGCCAAGTGCTCTGCTAGAGGGGGATAAGCCCACAGAACAGGGAACCAGTGACTCCTGAGGGATCAGAGATAAAGCAAATGACAGCTGAAGCAGACCTAGAGGGATGAGTAAAGGTTTGTCTGACAGAGAAGGGAGGAGAGGTGTTTCTAGGCTGAGGGGAAGACTGCCAGGGCAGGGAAGTGGGAAAGTATAAGGTGTAAGGAGGGACTAGGGAGGGGGACTTAGACTTTCCTCTGAAGGCAATGGGGAGTTACTAGAAGAATTCTTAAGCAGAGTCAAGTTATTAGGAGACAAGTTTCTTAGAAAACGTCCTCTGGTGGCTGGTATAGATAGAAAAGGTTCCTGTGAGTATGGAGAGAAATGAAAGGTTTGGGGGCTATTCAGGAAGTAAGAATTGGTGATTGGATAGAAGCTGAGGAAGAAGGAGGAGCCCCAAATGACTCCCAGGCTCCCAGCATGGGAGACTCAGGAGGAGGGGCGTATTAGTGGGGTGACACAGTGAGTCTAAGGTGCCCGGAAGGCATCTGGAGGGAAGCATCCAGGAAGCCAGTGACCACAGGGATCTGGACCTCAGGAGAGACACTCGGTGGTCTTTTTGGTCACGGAAGTTACAGGAATAGCTGAGTCCTCTCAAGGACTACCAATAGATTGAGGCCTGGAAAATCCCAAAGGTCAAATGAGCAGAGGATGATAACAAGCAAAGCAGACAGGGTGAGAGCAGCCAGGGAGCAGGGAGCAAATAAGAGCATGGGATGTGGGGCTTAAGAAAAGAAAGAGCATCAAGCACTGTCAGTGGAGATGTGGCCACCACTTGGCCCATGCTTTTCAAACCTTGGTTCAAATGATGTTTGGGATGGAGATGCCTCAAAATATAAAACAGCCTCTAGCAGATGCTCACCTGGATCCCTAATGGATTAAGCCCCATCCCCTGTGGTACAAGGAAGGATCTCATGACAGGGTCCAGGGCCAAGCCCTCACCTTTGGGGTCTACCTGGGCCAGGTAGGTGATGATGCAGCTCTTGGGCCCCGTGCTCTGGATGAGGTAGCCCGTCTGGATGGACACAGCTCGGACCAAGTCTTTCCGAGGTGGGTATTTCTGGGGATGGAAGGCACAGGGAGGTGAGACTCAGGGTGGGGGACAAAGGTGGTGTCTCTGTGAACACACACACACACACACACACACGTTAGTTCGTATCCCCTGGCATCTGCTCCAGGCCAGGCCTAATGCTGGTGTTACGACAAAGGAAAAAATCAGACGAGGTCGTCCTTGCCTCTCTCAAGACTTCCCCCATTCCACTAGGGGAAGGCCTGGTCTAGCTCATGTACACAGAGTCTCACACTTACAACACACATGTGGGCACTCACAGATACACACACTAACCTTTGCCCAGGCCAGTTGTCCCTACTTGTCATCCCTGCCCGTGGAGATCAAGCTGGGCCAGCCTCAGGGAGAGCCAGAGGACCCTGCTTCTCATGTTTTTCTCCCCCTTTTTCCAGCTAGTTCTGCCCCAAAGCCCTGCCAGTCAAAGTCAACCCATTCCACCACCTTGCCCATGGTGATGGCCCATACTTCTCTCTCCTGACCTTCCTGAGAGCTCCAGCAGGGAGACAGGAGACATATTCTCACTGTACATCAGGGATATTGAAAGCCAGAGGGGAAGTTCATGGTAGCAGCCATGGGCCTCCCTGTAGGCTAGACCTGCTAGCCCAGCTCTGACACCTTACCCTGTCCACCCAACAGGGAGGGCAGGTCAACTCACAGGATGTTTGACTGAGTAGTTCATAATGATGTAATCAGCACCCATGGGGAGCCAGGAGCGGAGGGTGATGACATCGCGGTTCTTCAGGGGCTTTGGACACCTCCCTGTGGAGGGCAAGGGACAGTGTCAGCCAGACCACCGGCCCATTTGCTTACAAGACACCTGGTAATGTCCCGAACCCTGGACAGGGACCAGAGGACAGACAGGAAGAGAGGGGATGCGAGAAGGAGGGCAGGCAGAGGCCAGAGACACAAGGTTACCTAGGTTAACTGCCAGGGCTCCGATATAAACGGGTGTCCTTACCCACCAGACCATAGCCCCAGAGCTGGAACTAGGAAACAGACAGAGCAGAAGCCTCTTCTCTATTGTCTCTACCTATCCTTACTCCTAACAACCTCACACAGCTCTTACCTTGCTGGCCTGTTTGTATACATGAGTGTGTGTATGAGAGGACAACGGAATTACTGTGTGTATACCATGTGTGTGCACACATGTTCGTGTGTATAGTGTATTCATGAACATATGAGTGCATGCATGTTTGTATGTGTGCCCAAGTAAGTGAGAGTTACAAGGATGTTAAAGAGGGTGACTGGGCCCTTCTCCAGGGAGATCCTCCCCAAGGGTGTCTTAACCTTCAGGTCTCTCAGCAGCCTGATCATGGGAGTGACCACAAGGAGGAAAGATGCGAGGAGGAAGCTCAGTGTGGGGCCTGGATGAAGGGGGCTGGGATCAGTGTGCTGTGCCTGCTCACAAGAGTAATAGCCCACATCAGCGTTGACTGTCAAGCGGGCGATGTCGAAAGTCTCAATGACGTTGCTGTCCCACTTCTTTCGGTACTCGATGTCATGTAAAACGTCGTAGAGTGTCTCAGCTGGCACATCGCGGCACTCCATCCGGCACTGCAGACAGACACATGGGTTGCCAGGGTCACACTGGGCTCAGATACAAGGTTCCTGGGAGTGTCCAGAGGCCTGGCCAGGGGACCAGAGAACAGACAGGCAGAGAGGAGAGGAGAAGGAGGAGGAGGAGAGGAAGAAACAGGGGCCTCTGAAACTATCACGAACTCACCTCTTTCCACAAGTCCTGCCTAGCCCCTACCAGAAGCTACCTGTGCCAGGAGACAGGCCCTGTGTCCAGAGACCATCTCCCACACCTCAGTTCCCACTAGTTCCCAGTCCCCTATTCTTCCCAATACCCTCCTCCAGGAAACCTTCCTGACCTCCTGTGCTCCTATATGCAGAGTCTCAAATCTGTGCCTCCCTCCTCAACTCATGGGCACAGGATCATGGCTCATTCAGCTTGGAGCCTGCCATGAAAAGAAAGCATGAATGAACAAAGAAATGAACCAATGAATGCCTAAATAGATTATTCCCTTCTTCCCATGGTATTTATCACCTGGCCATACTACTTGCCCTCCTTTTTATTTCATTCAACAAACATCTTCAGATTTTTTCTATTTGTTAGCCTCTCCCTCAAAGAGCTGTCCATCTAGGGGGGAAAATAGCCAAGCATACCTTGTTTTATTTGACCCTCACAACTCTGCCAGAGAAGAAATTCAAGGAAGAACTCAGAGAGGTTAAGTAACTTGCCCAAGGGGACCCAGCTGGTAATTAGCAGGGCTGGGATTTATCCCAGATTACATGTCTGGAAAGCAAATAAAAACAGGCCAGGTTTCCCTCGACTTGTACAGCAAGATGAAACTCAGTCAATGTTCTTGTTCTTTGACTTTTTTTTTAACCCAACAGCCCAAACCTCCGGGTCAGTTTCCCATCAGCAAATGGACAAAGTTTCTAGTTTAAAAAGGTCTCCCAGAGAATAGAAGGACTGTGTATGCACAGAGAGACAGCTCAGGGGGCAAGAGTGCATGGGAGGGAAGGACACAGGGAAGAGGTGACTATGAGGAGGAAGTGGGAGGAGAGCTGTTGCATTGTGGGAGATGTCAGTCAATGTCATGAGACAAAGTGTATGTGAACTGCTGTATGGAAAATGAATTTGCTCTGTAAACTTTCACCCAAATCACAATAAAAATTTTAAAAATAAAATAAGATAAAAGGTCTCCCAGAATTGGGCATTCAGAAGGTGCTAAGGGAACCTCAGACATATTACTTTTTATTTATAAGGAGATACATAGGATGGAAGATCCCATTGCCTCCACCTAATCCCAGGGTAGGTCTCGGCACCACTAATGGGGATGTGATGCCACAAGAAGGATACACCAGCACCTACTAGTTTTTCTAGGTACAATGAACTCATCAAGTCTTGGTTATAACTTCAGTTTACAGGAATTACAGAGAACAGAAGAACCAACTAAATGACATGATGAGAATACAACCAGACAGTGTCAGATGGTGAGACATTCTACAGCCCTATTGGCTCAGGTTCTTTTCTGAGTCAAAGTCATAAAAAAGAAACGAAGAGACACACAATTAGATGCAAAGTATGGTCCAGGATTGTATACTGGGACACATCATCTGTAAGGGGCATTCTGGGGACAACTGGAAACATATGAGTATGGTCTGAGTATTAGAGACATTGAAATTTTACTAAAATAAAATGGTGGAGATTACTACCTGCGATGGGGGGGGGAGCAGGTTAAAAACTGGAATACATAGCATAATCTTATTTTTAGGCAATATATACTATATATACACAGAAAGAGATCAGGAAGCATAGTCACTAATGTGTCAACAGTGTGGTTTTTAGGTGCCATCGAGTCAATTCTGACTCATAACGACCCTATGTACAACAGAACTAAACACTGCCTGGTCCTGCCACATCCTCACAATCTTTGCTATGCCTGAGGCCACTGTCACACCCACTTTGTCAATCCATCTTGTTGAGGGTTGTGGTAGTTAAGTTTGTGCGTCAGCTTGGCTGGGCTTGGTTAAGTGGCTGGGCAGCTGGATGTAGTATTCCCCATGATGAGACTGGTAATCAACTCCATGGTAGAATCTACTGTGAGCAGCTGAGTAGCTGAGTAGCTGCCTTAGGGAATGTGGTCTGCTTCCTGTATATAAGCAGAAGCCTTGGGGAATGGTCTCCAGCTTATGGCATGTTTGGACTCTGCATGTAGCTGTGTCCGCATGCTCTGCGGATCTGGGGACACACAATGGACTTGAGTTAATGGCCTGCTATGTGGTTTGGTAACATCGGGACTGTGCCTTTTTACTTGTCAACCTTGGGCTTGGCAGCCTCAGCAGCCAGCAGCTGCCTGAGTGAAGAGATGCCTCTAGCTTCAGTGGGCCGGGAGCTAGAGGCAGAACAGAAGCCCAAGGCTGAGGGGCTTTCACCCAGCCCCTAGAGCCTGGTCCTTTGAACTTGACCTTAAAGCCTCCAAACTGTGAGAATAAACCCTCGTTTGTTAAGGCCATCCCATCTGTGGTATATTCTTATCAGAGCGGCACTTGGTAACGAGAACAAGGGTCTTCCCCTTTTTACCTGACCCACTACCTTACCCAACATGATATTCTTCTCCAGGGACTAATGTAGCTGTTTCTTCTCATTTTGAGTCATGCCACATCAGCAAATAAAGGCCCAAAAGGCTTCACTCCATCCACATCATTAAAGTAGACTCTGCTTTGAGGAGGCAAATCTTCCCAGTTATATTTTGACTGCCTTCCAACCAGAGGGACTCATCTTCTAGCACTGTATCAGACAGTGTTTCCCTTCTATCGTAAGGTTTTCAGTGGCCAATTTATTTTATTTTTTTTCATAAGTGGATAGCCACATCCTTCTTCCTAGTCTGCAGAAACCTGTCCACTATGGGTGGCCCTGCTGATATTTGAAATATTGGTGGCATAGCTTCTAGCATCACAGCAACATGCAAGCCACCACAGTACAACAAACTGACAGACAAGTGGTGTCAACAGTAACCCACTGCCATTGAGTTGATTCCAACGCATAATGACCCATAAGGTTTCCAAGGCTGTAAATCTTTACAGAAGTAGATTGCCTCATCCTCCCCCCACAAAGCACCTGGTGAGTTTGAACCACGGACCTTCCGGTTAGCAGCCAAATGCCTTAACCACTGTGCCACCAGAGATCCTTGGTGTTAACAGTAGAAAGCTCTAAATGGAAAGAGTATGATGGCATTATTTTCTCTTTTTGCTTGTCTGTATTTCTGATTTTCTACAATGTACAATACTGCTTCTTCAATAATTAAAAAAAATTTAAATAAAAAAGTCCCCCAGTGATACCGAGAGTTGCACTCACCAAGCACCAGGAACTGTACTAAGTGCTTATACACTTTATGGCATTATATTCCTCCAGCAAATGCTCTGAGGTATTAGCCCCATTTTAGAATTAAAGAAGCTGAAGTTCAAGGAGAGCCTTGAGCCTGCAAAAACTCATTGTGTGACCCTGATTAAGCCACCCTCCCCCTCTGTCCCTATTTGTTTTTCCGCTCCATGAGGGGTTGTGACTAGATCCAATCATTTAATACCCCCACTCTTCCCCATTCCAACCCTGTCCTGAGCACAGAAGAGTCAGAGATGAATCTGAGGGCTGTTCTTGAGAAGCTTCCAGTTGAAGGTAGAGACAAACTTGGAAATGGGGAGATGCCCTAAACTGTCCAGTGGGGGCATAGATGAGGAGACCAACTCTGCAGGGTGGGTAGGATCAGGCTTCAAGGAGAAGTTCAGTCTCAGAAGGTAGATGTTTGGCCAATTGGCCTTGGCAGAGAAAGAAGCAAGGGTAAAGGCATCGAGTATGGCTTGTCAGGGAAATGGAAATGAGTTCTGGCTGGCTGGAGCTTCCATGATGTGGTGTAGCCCTATACACATACTCCTCACTTATGGACTGTTTCATTATCCAACATTTTGCATTTATAGCAATAGTGAAAAATCTACTATCCAACTTTTTGCACATTAACAACGCACATCTGGCAGTAATAAACACCCAAGTACAAGGTGAGAGTAATGCTGGTTGTGATGATTCAGGTTATGTGTCTCAGTGGTCATATTTACCTGGGCCATGATTCTTAGTGGTTTGGCAGTTATGTAGTGATGTAGTTAGTCATCCTCCATTTTGGCATAACACTGATTTTCACATTACGACCAGGTCTTTGGAACTTAACCATGTCAATAAGTCAGGAGTGGGTGTACTTATAAAGTTCCTGATTTTAGGGCTTTTTGGAGAAATTACTGATTCCAGGGCTAAGTCAAAGTGTAAGATGAGCCTGGAACATCTTACTGTGCCAGAATGTAAGAAAATACTCCAAGAATGATAGGGGCCTTGTCCAATAGACACAGAAGCCAGTTTTGGAAGGTGTCCCACTGGTAGGGTGACCAACTGATCTGGGTCTGCCTGAGATTCTCCCAGTTTTAGCATTGAAAGTCCCCTATCTTAGGAAACTCCTCAGTGTTGGGCAAGCTAGGACAGTTGGTCACTCTACCACAGGTCAAATCTGGGACGACCTGCGTACTGAAATAAATGATAGTAACAGATTATACTCCATTGAGTAAAATAGAAAACCAAAGTATATACAGATATGAATAAATAAATAAACTGAATCTTTGATGAAGTGTGGGGTATTTCCATAGTTCCAAAGCACCTTCTCATCAAATACTTATTAATTACCAAGGGGACATGAGTAACTTAACAGTGAAGAAGCTTGGCAGTCACCACCTTAATTAAGTGATTAAAACGAACATCATTAGTAAGGGGACAAATTACAATCAAGTGTTGCCTGAGAGGATGCAACGAGAATAATACAGTCATCATTTATGTCATATTTCTATAAAGATTCATAACCTAAATCTAATCATAAGGAAACATCAAACAAACCCAAAATGAAGGACATTTTCTAAAATAACTAGCCTATAAGTATCAATTTAAAAGTTGACATTTATAGGCCAATTATAGACTGTGAAAGTCAACGAAAAACTGGGGAAGTATTCCA